TGCAGGATCATAGTTCCTTGAAAGTGGAGACACAGGTACGTAGGATAGTGAAGAAGGTACTTGGTATGCTTGCTTTTATTGGTCAGAGTATTCAGTATAGGAGTTTGGGGGTCATGTTGTGGCCGTACAGGACATTTGTTAAGCTGCTTTGGAATATTGCATTCAGTTCTGGTCCCCGTGTTATAGGAAAGATGTTGTGAAACTTGAAAGGGTTCAGAAAAGATTTACAAGGATTTTGCCGGGGTTGGAAGGTTTGAGCTATGGGGAGGAGTTGAATAGGCTGGAGCTATGTTCCCTGGAGCATTGGAGGCTGAGGAGTGACCTTACAGAAGTTTAAAAATTCATGAGGGGCATGGATAGATGAATAGCTAAGGTCTTTCCCCAGTGTAAAGAAGTCCAAAACGAGACAACATAGCTTTAAAGTGAGAGGGGAAAGATTTAGAAGGACCTAAGGGACAACTTTTTCACACAGAGGGTGGCACATATATGTAATGACAATCCAGAGGAAGTGGTGGGGGCTGGTACAATTACAACATTTAAAAGGCGGGTTTAGAGAGATATGGGCTAAATGCTAGCAAATGTGAGTAAATTAATTTACAATATCTGGCCACCATGGGCGAATTGGACTGAAGGTTCTGTTTCCATGATGTACAACTCTATGACTTTACTGACAGTCTCATATGTGATGGGCTGAATAGTCGTTTTGGTGCTGTAGATCACTATGGCTCTATAACACTTTTGAAATGAATACATTTTTTCTCAGATTTAGACATCATATTCTGGACAAATTTCATGATGAGTAACTGGAGTAGTTAAAATTTTAATTAATAATATGTGCGTACTTGCCTCAGTTCAGTTTTGTTCGCAATATCCTAGTACTTTAATTCTTCCTTAAAGAACCTACCTGATTGTTTCTGATGATGAATCATATCCAGTCTGTTGTTTATATAATTGGTCATATTACCTCCCTTTTTAATTTCAGACTTTGGTGATCAATGTGGGAGAGGTCAAGGAAGGGAATCCGCTCAACCCATTTGGACGCAATCAGAACAGTGAGGTCAATGAACCACTACCTACCAACTCCCAGTCAGCAGAACGTACTAGTATTAATCAAACCTAAAAAGATCAGAGCCTAACAAGCAGATCCCAAATAAAGCTAATAGCAAAAATCAATAAAAAAGATATGCATCAGTTCCCCTACTGAGAAGCTCCCTTCCTGTAAATTCTGTCACTGACCATTATCTAAAAAATCCAACCTTCCAATGCCCCATTCATCCAACTTCCCTCAATCTGATCCCCAATAATCAGTTTCCAATCTTTGAGTGCCCATTCATGCCAGCAAATGCAATTAACCACACATCAGATGCATATCAATGAGATCTGTGATCTATTTTCTAAACATCTAGCAGAGGACAATGTGTGAATGAATGAAATACTCAGTGACCCCGAGACTGCAGCTGTATGCAGTTTGAAGAAGCCAGTTTATGGAACATTCATCTTCACTCTTCTTTTCCAACATGTTCCTCGATCCCTTGCTGCTGTCTATAGCTCGTAATGAGACACACTTACAAAAACATTTAAAATAACTTTATTTCTTAAATATTATTAATAACATCAATGTGTATTATAGTTAAGACAGTTAATCATTGAAAATTGTAATAAAACCTATTCTTCTTCCTCGCCCTTCCTGTCCAGATAGGAAGAGTCGACCCCCACCTCTTCGTAATCCTTCTCAAGAGAGGCCATGTCCTCCCGTGCATCCTGGAACTCCCCTTCTTCCAGACCCTCCCCCACGTACCAGTGAACGAAGGCCCGCTTGGCATACATCTTGTCGAATTTGAGGTTCAGGCGCGTCCAGGCCAAGGATATGGCGGTGGTGTTGCTCAGCATACAGAGGGCCCTCTGCACCTTCGCCAGGTCCCCGCCTGGTACCACAGTCGGAGGCTGGTAGTTGATGCCAACCTGTTGGGAAGAAGCAAAACTGTTACCTTGGAGTTGCTTAGGGAGCAGATTCAGGATTGAATCTCCAAAATTCCATTACTCTGCTAAATGTGCATCTATCAATGTGTTTGAGACTTTCCATGTGCAACATGGAAAATTATTCATTGCCTGTCCATCTTCCCTCAGATTTAAAACTCAAAATTCTAATGGGATCTCTGTGTAATTCTCATCACACGGCGACTACAGTGGGGCTCTGTTAATCAGGAAGTTATTGTCTTGTTTCCAGGCAGGTTCTCTCCCGAAATTTTCTGAGCTGTAGTCAATGTCTGAACTGCAGAGGATTTTACCACAGGTCCCCTTAGAGTGATCCACTCAGGCTAAAGGGTCTGTTCCAATACTATCTCTGGAAGGTGAGACACATTTTGAGCTAGATGTAGTGAATATTGTACACAGCAGTGATTAGATTGTCACAACCCATGTTTTGCCAGAGCCCCGGTGGATTCAACACAAAACCCAACACTAACCTTGAACCCAGTTGGGCACCAATCAACAAAGGCGATTGAGCGCTT